ATTATAAATAAATTACTTATACAACTCTAAAATTCATATAAATCTATAGAATGCTCAATAAACATGTTATTGTCATTTTTCAGGAAGGAGTTTCCAAAAATAAATTGTAAATAATTCTTAAAAATTCCAAGAGTGTTTATGACACAGATTTATCACATTTTCTTAGATTAATTCCATACTTAAATTTATAAATCAATTCCATGATCTAAAAATTTATTATGAAACTAGACTTCTCAAATTTCATTTTTTTCTTAGAAATTATCAGATTTGGTTTAATATAAAAATTTTAATGATTTTTCAAACACATAATAAAATTTGTCTATAGCTCCAGATTTTGTTAAAAATATGTATAAATTTGTACAAAACTCAATAATTGTTGAAAACTTTTGTGAATGAACTAGACATCATTATAAACAACTTTGTAGAAGAAATTATCTTCAAATTTTGAGTATAAAATTATCTAAAAATTCGTACAAATTTCTGGCAGATTTAAAGGGCCAAATAACATCTTCAATAATCTTTTAATTACATAAACTACACATGCAAGTCCAAATTCCACAATATTATTATGATTTTCAAATTACCAATATTTAATATACCATCATAAAATACAATTATAAATAAAATCCTATCTACAAGTTTAGACATTTTATCATATGTATATAATCTGAAAATATAAAAATGAGAGGGTTGAGAGGGTTTTCTTACTTAGTAATAGGGTGACAAAATGGTTGAGAATTTTGGCTTTCTTAATCTCCTACTCTTCTTCCTCTCCTATCACTAAGCTTGGTTGCTTCAGAGATTTCTCTCTTCTTCTTTTTTTTCTTTTTCCTCACCGAATGCTTGCATACACCCTATAGACAATGAAGGCTTGCATGCATATATATATACAATGTTTGTTGCACAAATCTCTCTCTCTCTCTCTCTCTCTCTCTCTCTCTCTCTTTCTTTCTCTTCATGCCAAGTTTTCTTTCCCTCAATTCCAAGAGCATCATCAGCTCTTATTCCCTAAACAAGCATGCAAACCAACATGTGGAAAGCCTCTACTGAATTTCTGCAAAGGTTTGATTCCCTTTCTTTTTCTTTTTTTTTCTTTGTGTATTTGTGTGGGTTTTCTGAAAATTGATACGCTAAGATTTTTAACTAACGTATTTAGTAAGAATAATTATCATATTGAATCCTAATTAAAATAATTTATAAACAACAAATATTGAACACCCACAAAATTATTATTCTTAATAATATCTTTTTTAGTGATTGAATTGAGTCAATTTAAAACTAACTTTTACACTAATATACAATTCAGATAGACTATAGATAAAATTAATTAATTTATTTATTTATTTATTTTCTTTTAAGAATAATTAAATGTGGGATTTTCACACAATCAGCAGTTGGTAGAGCACAGAGTTATATGTATAATGGTAAATCACGACACATTCGTCGTCGACATAACACCGTGCGACAACTACTCTCCAATGAAATTATTTCCGTTGAATGTGTGAAGTCTAAAGACAACATAGCGGATCCACTAATCAAACGGTTAGCAAAAGAGCTAGTTGAGAATTCATCGAGGGGAATGGGACTAAAGCCTATTAAATAAGAGTTACCGTAACGGCAACCCAACCTAGTTGACTGGAGATTCCAAAATCTAGGTTCAAAGGGATAACCGAGTTGTGAATGACTCAGAAAGATCACTGGGGAGTCCAACTCCAATCCATTTCTATGATGAAATAGGTGATGTCTACAGCGTTTTAAGTTAAGTAAAATTTTAATGATTTTTATGTCTAGGTATACCTAGTGAAGTATGGCAAGATACTCTTCATAAGAATCACCTATATGAGTGTGAACTAGGCCGGTTCTATGAGATTTGTGAAGAACTACAATTCTCTAGGGCACTCATGAAAGACCAGATTGTTCAGGGCCAAAATGAACACAATAGTGAAAACTAAACTGTGTATGGGGATATACTGTGTGAGTTCTATTGTCTTGCTTTACATAAATGACTGAACAGTTCAAGACATCATGTTCACTGGTTAACTGGTAAATCCGATAGTGTTTCACAAGGGAAGGTTCAAAGCCAAAAGCTACCTATCGTTTGGAGAATATTTTCAATTTTTGTACTCTCTGTAATCGATCATGTTGTTGCATTTTCTCTCCGTCAAATTCTATTCATGTGGGGGATTGTTGAAAAATTTGGTTTATAAAGCTTATTTTGGGCCAACTTTGAGCCTAAAATTGAGTGGGCCCCAAACGTCTTTTGGGGTGGGTCCGAAGAGGTGAAGTGTTCCTTGCCACGTGGCAAGTCACACGGTGAAGACAGTTCGTCAAAACCATTTATGAGTGAATGGGAACATGACGTCGTTTTCAGATTCGTGGAATGGACATTAAAAGTTTTTATTGTGGGTTTCCTTGTGAGGCTTGTCCCACATTGAAACTTTAAGAGAGTTTTGTTGAGTATATAAGCTCTAGCCTACAACACTTGAGTTGGGCCCCAAGGGGCACCCCAAGTTTGTAGTAGGAAGGAGTTATGGACAAAGTGAACCTTAGCCCAAACCATCACACGCGCGCTGCCGCTGCCGTCCAGCCCAACCGTGCCGGGTGTGGGTTATGGGTCGGGTCGATTCTTGTATTAATTTTTTAGACGAAATTCATTTGAATTTTTTCAAAAATTATTACGGGAAAAATTAATTTAAAATTCGAATTTGAATTTGAATTTGAATTTGAATTCAAATTCTTGTCCAAAAGTTGTGCCTCTTTATGTCCGAATTTCCTACCGTAACTGCCGAACAGTTTTTAACAGTTTCAGATCTGTTAAACTGGACAGGTTTCAAACTGCCCAGCAGTTAATTTGTTGAAACAGTTTGCAAATCTATTTGAATTCAAACAGCACCTGTTCAATTCAAAAACCCATCTGTTCACTTCAAATTTTGCGCCTGTTTAGGTCTATAAAATCATATCTGTTTCCAACACTTTTCAACATCCGAAAATCTGTCTGCAACTTATGCTTTTGCTGTCCAGATTTTATTTAGTGCATTAATTCTTCATTTTAGTTTTAATGTTTTTTAAAGAGAGTATAGAATACAAGGTTCTAGTTCGCCGGACAAATCTGTTTGAAGTGCTTTTACAAATTTGTGAAGATCATTGTATCCTGGGAGATAGACGCCACTCAACCGTAAGCACCGAAGTGGGGCGAATCTGTCTTAAAGACAGAGTGTCACACATTCGGTTTGGTCTTTTATTTTTTCAATTGGTTCGACAAAATAAATTCTGTAAGTTTTTATTTTATTTTGTTTGATTTAGTTTCTATTTATTTTATTTACACAGAAAATTGTTCAAACATTATCATACTTTCTGCTGCTTGTTCTGTATATTGCAAATATCAGCACAAAATAAAATTTTAGTTACGAAAAAAAACTACAATAGGTAAAAATAAACTTCACTGTAAAATGGTATCTTGGCTCAACTTGCAGTAATAATTTTTTATGGTGCAGATTCGAGTAACAGAAACAATCTTTTCAAAATTTGAGATAAAACTGAACATTTTTGTTAGGATCAAATACACACCCAGAAAAATATAACACACACACAGAGAACACAATATTTACGTGGTTCGGCCCAATGCCTACATCCACGGACAGAAATGAGAATTTTCACTAAAATGGAGCAAAATACAAAATACAGAGGAGGAGGTGAAACTCACTCAACTCACAGCTCTCACTCTCCAATTCGAATTTGAATTTGAATTTGAATTTGAATTTGAATTCAAATTCTTGTCCAAAAGTTGTGCCTCTTTATGTCCGAATTTCCTACAGTAACTGCCGAACAGTTTTTAACAGTTTCAGATCTGTTAAACTGGACAGGTTTCAAACTGCCCAGCAGTTAATCTGTTGAAACAGTTTGCAAATCTATTCGAATTCAAACAACACCTGTTCGATTCAAAAACCCATCTGTTCACTTCAAATTTTGCCCCTGTTTAGGTCTATAAAATCAGATCTGTTTCCAACACTTTTCAACATCCGAAAATCTGTCTGCAACTTATGTTTTGGCTGTCCAAATTTTATTTAGTGCATTAATTCTTCATTTTAGTTTTAATGTTTTTTAAAGAGAGTATAGAATACAAGGTTCTAGTTCGCCGGACAAATTTGTTTGAAGTGCTTCTACAAATTTGTGAAGATCATTGTATCCTGGGAGATAGACGCCACTCAACCGTAAGCACCGAAGTGGGGCGAATCTGTCTTAAGGACAGAGTGTCACACACTCGGTTTGGTCTTTTATTTTTTCAATTGGTTCGACAAAATAAATTCTGTAAGTTTTTATTTTATTTTGTTTGATTTAGTTTCTATTTATTTTATTTACACAGAAAATTGTTCCAACATTATCATACTTTCTGCTGCTTGTTCTGTATATTGCAAATATCAGCACAAAATAAAATTTTAGTTAAGAAAAAAAACTACAATAGGTAAAAATAAACTTCACTGTAAAATGGTATCTTGGCTCAACTTGCAGTAATAATTTTTTATGGTGCAGAATCGAGTAACAGAAACAATCTTTTCAAAATTTGAGATAAAACTGAACATTTTTACACTCCATATAGGCTTTTGTTAACGTGAACATCGTGTACCAAATCAACCTTTTTTTTAATGAGCATAAACTTCACTTAATGTGGTAGCAAAACATGTGAGAGATGGTCGAAATCAAGTCTGCTTGATAGTCGTAAGTGGCATCTCCATGAAGAAAAGTTTTGACAATGAAGAAAAAAGGAAGATTTCAAGTGAACAAGATTGTCTTTGACAACACTCTAAAGTTGTTCTCTAACAATAAACAATTAATTTTGTTGGCCCAATCAAATTGTTTTGAATTGAATCTAGCTGTATACTAGTTTCTTCCTTGCTAGCTTCTCTTACAAACAGGTAATTAAATTAAAATATTCATCACCTAATCAACCAAACCACCTTTCCTCTCCAAGCTCTCCCCAGCTATATATATAAATGCCCTCAAATGCTTTGATCAAAACAAACAATACCCAACAAAAACAACAACAAGAAGATTGAGATTCACCGGCATAGACGAAGAGATGGCTACTTATGTTCTTCTCTCTTCATCGGTGGCATTCATGGGAGTTATCGTCTTCTCGTTGATAACATTGTCTCTCCTTCCTCAACCAGCACTTGCCACGGATGCAAGTGTAACCAGGCACTACACATTTAATGTACGTATATACCCGGCTATGGAAACTAAGACTTTTTTTTTCCATACTTTTTAAAAATCATTTTAACAAAGTTGGAAATTGTTTTGTAGATCCAATTGCAAAATGTGACGCGGCTGTGCCACACGAAGAGCATGGTTACTGTGAATGGGAAATTTCCAGGGCCGCGCATTGTGGCCAGGGAGGGCGATAGGCTTTTGATAAAAGTGGTTAACCATGTTCAGAACAATATGTCAATCCATTGGTATGAAATGAATCTTCACTCAAGTTCTTTAATTGGGTGGTACAATATAATCAAAAACTAGTTTTGGAAATGGCTACATTTTCTAACAACGAAACAGTAACATAATCTAAATGGCAATGCATCTATTTTATTCATCTTGGTATAGGCATGGAATTCGACAGCTTCAAACCGGGTGGGCTGATGGGCCGGCATACATAACTCAGTGCCCCATACAAACCGGCCAGAGCTACGTGTACAATTTCACCATTGTTGGCCAGAGAGGAACACTGTTTTGGCATGCCCATATTTCGTGGCAAAGAGCGACTGTCTATGGCCCTCTGATTATTCTTCCCAAGCGTAACGCCTCTTACCCATTTGCCAAACCATACAAGGAAGTTCCCGTCATTTTCGGTATTCAACTCTGCACAAGAACTCTATTGATTCTTTGACAAAACAAATAAAATTCACTAACCATGATTACAATACTTTGTTTTCAGGAGAATGGTTCAATGCCGATCCTGAGGCAATAATTAACCAGGCCTTGCAAACAGGTGGTGGCCCAAATGTCTCGGATGCCTATACGATCAATGGACTTCCAGGACCATTGTATAATTGTTCTGCCAAAGGTATGAAAAGTACCAACTATTTCGGTATAGTAATGCGAGTTTTTAAATAGCGCTATTGGGGCATGAATTAGTATCATTCAATATCGAGAGTATTCAGCAATAAGTATCAGGATTCAAGACATGAATTAGTTAACATTGTCAAATTACTTCTTAGCAGATACATTCAAGCTGAAGGTGAAGCCTGGAAAAACATACCTACTCCGCCTGATCAACGCTGCACTCAATGACGAACTTTTCTTTAGCATTGCAAACCACACTCTCACCATTGTTGAAGCCGATGCCATCTATGTAAAACCATTTGAGACCAACACGCTTCTCATTACTCCCGGACAGACCACAAACGTCCTTCTCAAGGCCAAACCTTATTTCCCGGGTGCCACATTCTTGATGACTGCCAGGCCATATGTGACCGGCCTTGGAACGTTTGACAACTCAACTGTTGCCGGTATCCTGGAATACCAATCACCATTTCTTCACTCAGCCTTGCCAATTAAAAAGCTTCCACTCTTCAAACCGACTTTGCCTCCTCTAAATGACACTTCATTCGCCACTAATTTCTCGAAGAAACTCCGTAGCTTAGCCAGTGCTCAATACCCTGCCAATGTCCCCCAAAAAGTCGACAAACGCTTTTTTTTCACAATAAGCCTCGGAACAAGACCGTGTGACAAAAACCAAACCTGTCAAGGACCTAATGGAACCAAGTTCTCAGCATCTGTCAACAATGTATCTTTTGTACTACCAAATACAGCTCTCCTCCAAGCTCATTTCTTTGGCCAATCATTTGGTGTGTATAACTCGGACTTTCCGTTCAACCCGATCAATTGGTATAACTATACCGGGAATTCGCCGAACAATACTATGGTTGGGAATGGGACCAAAGTTTTGGTACTGCCTTTTAACACTAGTGTGGAGTTGGTTATGCAGGACACAAGCATTCTTGGAGCAGAAAGCCACCCTCTTCATCTCCACGGATTCAATTTCTTTGTTGTTGGACAAGGTTTCGGGAACTATGACCCAAATGAGGACCCGAAAAGCTTCAATCTTGTTGACCCAATTGAAAGGAACACGGTTGGTGTGCCCTCGGGTGGGTGGATTGCGATTCGGTTTCTAGCAGATAACCCAGGTAAAAATCAAAAGAAGAATGATATTTAATTACAAAATACATACATTTAAAAATTGAAGTAAAAATGATAAGTTATTTTGGATCACCAAATGCAGAATAATTTTATCTTCAAATAATCTAAACTTATCCCAATATCATATATGAATGCTGTTAAATAAATAAAACAATGCATACAGAGGCATCTACCATGCAAATTCAATGTTTTGCTTTTTTATGGTAATAACTATATACGTGTAAATAATAGGTGTATGGTTCATGCATTGTCACTTGGAAGTCCACACGAGTTGGGGATTGAAGATGGCTTGGCTTGTCTTAGATGGAAAGCTTCCCAATCAAAAGCTGCTTCCTCCACCGTCTGATCTTCCCAAATGTTAGAATTTTCATTTCATCATTATCACTTGCGATGATCAGATGGCCAGCAGAATTTTTTTTTTTTTGGAATTAAATTTGAGATTATTTTGTTGAGATAATTGAAGGAAAGAAGAGTTGAGAATTTCTTTTTTTGTAACACTCAAATATGGCTATGCAATGATGCAACAATAATACGTTTGGATTATATATTGAGATTTTTCATTTTTTGTTCTTTTGACTTTGCGCAAGACATGTGAATTGAACCTTTTCTTTTTCTTTTCTTTTTTTTTTTTTGGTTAATTGAAATGAGATAATTTGCAAATATTATAGATTTACATAAGATTGGATATTCGGCTGTATAAAAAATTTCAATGACAAATTATCACAAATATGCAACACAGTCAATAATCGCAAAAGAAAGATCCCAAAATAAAGGCATGTAAAAAGAATGAAACTGTTATGTGAACATGTTCATGTGACAACCAAAATTGGTTTGCTTATCAATTGGAGATCCTTGGTTTCATAAAAGCACTAGAGAAGAGAATTTTGTAACTTTGAACTGATGAACAACTGTGCCATGTGGACAACTAGAATAAAAAAATGCCTAAATGGCACAGCCTTCGTTTGGCATGCAGATTTTTTTGATTATTTTAGTCACAAAAAAATAAAATAGGTTTTTTAATTTAATAAGACAAAATATCACATCTAAACTATAATCATTTCATTTTTTCTCTCACAAAAATCAAAAAAATTAAAAAGTTTATCCCAAATAATACTTTTTAACCACAGACTAAAATAATTAAAAAATCAAAAACTCAACTCACATCCCAAACAAAAATCTAAACATAGTCGTGGGACACAAAAGCTAATCAAAATTCAACAGTTAAAGTTTCATCCCTAACTTTATGATCGGTTCTTCTATTGAATTCAAGGTGCTTTTGAATCAAACTTACAATTTTGTTTTATTATCATTTTTTTTAAAACCTTTTACTTGGCAGGTAATATAGTATAGCTAGCTAGTTTGCTTTCATTAAGAGCATTCAGGGTCTTCAAAATTTTAGTTAAATTATAACTTAAAAAGTTATTTTTCTATTTTAGCTGGTCATCTCACTGCATCAAACTCTCTATTTTAATTCAATCCTATTAAAATATTTGTTATTCTTTTTTTTATAATTAAGTTGATGAGTTATAAACCAAACAATTCTTATATTTTACACAAGGCAAAAATAATAATAATAATAATAAATAAATAAATTGCCGTTGACCGATTGACTGGCCGGACTTCCGATAACACACAACTTCGCCTATTGTAACGATAAGCAGTACCTCGCTTGCTGTAACGAGGTACTATAGCACTCATATATTAGTGATGAACAGTAACGAGACTGATGCAGTCTATTTTTGATTAACAACATCACTAATTTAGCTAAAAAATAATTTTAGCTAGTTTGATACGGATGCTCTAAGCAAACACATCGGTCTATTCTTTGCTTGAGAGAAAAGTGCAAACATAACAAACTTTAAAATGGTCCAATTAGGATTACATGCTCGATACATCCTTTGATTTTGCCCTCTCAATTCTATTATTAATGACTCGACTAAGACTCATGTAAAGTGGTCTTATACTTAGGTCTGGTTTGGGATACCTAAAAAAATTTTAAAAACTAAAAAAGTTAAAAAGTTATCACTATTCATAAAAAATATATATATATAAAAAAATTAATTTTACACAAAATTATTACAAACAACACTGACGTCCCACAACCATAGAGTTGAGTTTTTTGGAAAAATTACACAGGCGAGGTGCACAAACAATACGGTGCTATTAGGCTTGTGGGGGCCCATCACGGGTCCCGTTTTAATAATCTGAACCATTCAATGTGTAGAAATCGTCGAGTACTATATGTTTGTAAAAAATCATGTTGATTGGATATCACTAACTATATGATCAAATCAGTTTTGTATAAAAAAAATGGATGGTGTTATAGTTAACGGTTGAAAAAAAACTAATCCGATCATATATCTATCGATATCCGATCAACATGATTTTTTACAGTCATCCCACTGTATCAAACTCTCTATTTTAACTCAATCCTATTAAAATATTTGTTATTCTTTTTTTTATAATTAAGTTGATGAGTTATAAACCAAACAATTCTTATATTTTACACAAGGCAAAAATAATAATAATAATAATAAATAAATAAATTGCCGTTGACCGATTGACTGGCCGGACTTCCGATAACACACAACTTCGCCTATTGTAACGATAAGCAGTACCTCGCTTGCTGTAACGAGGTACTATAGCACTCATATATTAGTGATGAACAGTAACGAGACTGATGCAGTCTATTTTTGATTAACAACATCACTAATTTAGCTAAAAAATAATTTTAACTAGTTTGATACGGATGCTCTAAGCAAACACATCGGTCTATTCTTTGCTTGAGAGAAAAGTGCAAACATAACAAACTTTAAAATGGTCCAATTAGGATTACATGCTCGATACATTCTTTGATTTTGCCCTCTCAATTCTATTATTAATGACTTGACTAAGACTCATGTAAAGCGGTCTTATACTTAGGCCTGGTTTGGGATACCCAAAAAAATTCAAAAAACTAAAAAATTACTAAAATGGTTTAAAAGTTGTCACTATTCACAAAAAATATATATATAAAAAAATTAATTTTACATAAAATTATTACAAACAACACTGACGTCCCACAACCATAGAGTTGAGTTTTTTGGAAAAATTGCACAAGCGGGGTGCACAAACAAGACGGTACTGTTAGGCCTGTGGGGGCCCATCACGGGTCCCGTTTTGATAATCTAAACCATTCAATGTGTAGAACTCGTCAAGTGCTATACGTTTGTAAAAAATCATGTTGATTAGATATCGTTAACTATATGATCAAATCAGTTTTGTATAAAAAAAAATGGATGGTGTTATAGTTAACGGTTGAAAAAAAACTAATCCGATCATATATCTATCGATATCCGATCAACATGATTTTTTACAGGAATATAGTACTCGACGATTTTTACACATTGACGGTTCAGATTATTAGAACGGGACCCGTGAGGGCCCCCACGGGCCGAATAGCACCGTCCAATGCAATGCCCGAAAAGTAAGCAACCATTTCTTATCATCAATTCACTCTGTCCAAACAGAAGGCCGTGCCTACTATCCTTATCTTCTCATACACGCTTAATTTATACAATTTTTTAATACATATTTTTTCGTAAAAAATTAAAAAGTTAACCCAAACAACCATATTTTTTTTCTCAACTTTTTAATCCAAAAAGTCAAAAAGTACACTTATTTAAGACACTCCAAACAACTCCTTATTTTCTCTTATCTTTAGCTCCTTCTAATTTCACATCATTGAGATGAAATTGAGAGGACAAAATTAAGATATAAATCATTTTTCTTAGTAGATGTTTGGAATAACCTACAAAAATCAAAAAATCAAAAAATCAAAATGTTATTAAAAAAATTGAAAAGTCGATACTATTTGGGGAAAGCTTGTGGGGGAAGTTTAGGGAATAAAATTATTATTTTACCCTTTGAATTCAAATACTTAAAAGTCAAAAAGTTAAAAGTCAAAAAGTCAACAAGAATAGAATAGTCATTTTGATTTTATTATAATATTTTATTACATATCTTTTCATAAAAAGTCAAAAAATTATCTCAAACATACATCTTTTTTTCTTTATTTTTTTAACCAAAAAATCAAAAAGAACACTTATATAAATCATTCCAAACACTCCTTTAATATTAATCACTTCAAATGCAAGCTTTGCAAATCCTGAAGGTGACATAGCCGCCAACCTCAGGTCCTCCAACTATTCATTCGTTCGTCTTTTTATTCATGAAAATGACAAATGCATATCTAACATTTTAGCTATGTATGACCTTGAAACAACTATTGATTGAAACAATAGTACTATACTCTTAGAATTTTTATTTAAAATTTTACACAGCATTAGTAATATGTGAGTCAAATTCATTTAATATATGAATCTCACAATTAGTGTTTGAAATTTATTTTTTTGATAACTTTTTTGTTGGTGTTTTTGTCTTCACCAAACCTTTTCTAAAATTTCAGAAAGTTTTAGACTTTTGGGTTCTAATGGACTAGACATATCAGAAAAATAAAATAAATAAATAAATAAATCCATAAAGGACAAAGAAAAGGAAAAATAATAATTGATTTTTTGGCTTACTTTTGGGTTTTTGGATTTTTTTTTTTTGAATTTTTAAAATTTTTTAGATTCATCTACACAAGACGAACCAACAAACTAAAAATTTTTGACATACTTTTAAAAGATCATTAAAGACAAAAAAAAATATTTGAGTTTTTAGGCTTTCCCAAATTTTTTTCCCTATATTTGGTTTTTTTAAATATTACATAGTATATTTTAAAAAATATTGAAAAATCTAAATAACCCTAGAGATATTAATTTGTGATTATATTTCAATTTAAAACAGTAAATAATAATCTCAATCAAACAATCAAAACAAATCGACACAGTGATTTAACATGGAAAAAATCACAATTGGAAAGCTTCCAATTGTGATAAAAAAAAAAGTACGAGCCAAAGCTATAAAACAATTCATTAAAAAGAAAAAAATAAATTACTCAATTACCTAGCGAATCAATACCCGAATTGAACTGATCACAATATGCCTCTTCCACTATTATTTTCATCATGGAATTGTCTTACCCAACGTTGAATCCACAACGCTGATGTCAAATCCACGATGATGAGTCACTTCGGAATCTATCAAAGTTTCAAGTCCAAGTTTCCTAGAATCTACCAAAGAATACTTCTCTTTTTTGTGAACGAAATAATAAAAATAACCCTTGATGTTTAAACAATCTGTAATATATTAATCAATCAATCACGTTCTATACACCCAGGAAACTCATATAAAACAGTCTCTAATAGAAAACACTTTGCCTTTTCTTTCTCTCTAAGATTCTAAACGGTTTCAACCTTAAAAATATCAAACTGCGTACTTTATAGTAAACTAAATTGCAAAGACCGCTTGAGTGCAAACTTTACCGCTCGAGCAGTGTGAGTAAAAACGGTGCAAAACATATATGCTGACTGCTCGAGCGCAACACTCACCGCTCAAGCGGTAAAACTTGCTTCTCAGAAGTTCAGTTGCAGATAGAGATACTGGATGCTCTTCTTTACCGCTCGAGCGGTTAAACCACTC